TCAGTCTTATATTAGGTTTTGTGCAGACCATGCTGCATACATACTGTTTGGAGAACATACCAATTATCCTGACGTTTTGATTAGTAGAAAGACCTCAAACTCAGATGGAGCCATTCATATGAGTTACACACCAGCAGAAACACTTCATCCCTCTGGTGACTGGACCTAACGTTTCAGTCCGATCCAACTGTTTTCTGATATCTTCTGTCGCAGCAGCCAGTTCCTTTTTGATCCCACCAAAGCACTTTTAGGATTCACAGCGGACATGGTACCGCTTCCTGCTGTTTGTTTGTGTAGCCATGGTGATTGGACCTAACGCTCCGGTACAGGTCTGCTTGGCGTCTTGTTCTTCCTGCTTCCTGGTTGATTCACAGACAAGGGTCGAGCCGTGACCACCACTGATGTGCCTCTGTTCAAGTGTGCTTAATTGGAATGTTTGACTTGGAGGGAAAAAAAAAAAACTTGGCATTTTCAGTTCCCAGCTGCTGTCTCCAGTTCCACTCCAGTGTTATGGAGTTGCAGGTGTGCGACTAAAAAGTGTTCAAGTGACTCAGTCTGCAGTTTCTGAAGGAACATGATGTTAGGTCCACATTCGTTCCCATATATGGCGCTCCTTCTTTACTTTCTTCTACAGACATGACATGCATCTCACAGGCCTTCAGCTCCAACCACAAGACACTTCCTGTAACATGACTTTCAGAAATGTGAAATGACCACAGTGGTCTTCCTTACTCCATAATTTGACAGGAAACAGGAAATGACAAAGTTTCCAGCAGGGGATGATGATTAGCATTCAAATGTTCTGCGTGACATCTTAGCCATGCTACGAAATTATATGGTTCTTACAGTTATAGCCAACATAAATAGACTATAGTTTCATCGGCTTGTAGAAACCATTGAATATTTTATCACATAACTCCATGGTTTCACATCCAGACGCAGAATTATGTCTCGAAAAGAAGGGTTTCCGTGTTTTTCATTTATCTCTTTAAAGTTGCATCACTGCCACCTACAGACAGAGGGTAACATTGCTGCACAAGGCAACAAATGAGGTCAATTTTGTATGATTTTTAATTTTTAGGGTTTTTTTAGAGGACCCTCCAGCACATTGTGAATTATAGTATCAGGTCCATCATTGTATTGTGGGAAATTTTGAATATAAGCTACGGCTACAGGAACATGTGGAAACACCACTAAATGCTGTGCATAAAACCAACAGCGTGGAGAGGAGCACAGCAGCAATACTATTGTGTGGCTGGAATCCCATTCATGTAAAAGCAGTTGGAGAGATGCTGCCTTCATTTAAAAAAAAAAAAAGAAAAAAAAGAAGTCTTTCTCATCTGCCAAACAGACACAAAAGACTCCAGCAGCTCCTCGTCTTTAGATGAACTTGTTTGCATGGATTCTTCCTGAGTGGCCTTTTTATCTTCAGGGAAGTTTGAGTTTGCAGAGTTTGATTGAGTGCACTAATTACATAATACAAGGTGCTTGACAAAAGCACACTGCAAAAACATCCTGCTCTCTCCAGAGGAGCAGCGCAGCACGGCCAAAGTTTTAGCTCGTTACTTATCCGCTCCCTGTCATGAGTGGCTCAGACCCTTCTGATCCGTATTTATAGACCACGGATTCCAGGGATTCTTACCGTAACATCTAGTTGTCTTCTGTTCATGTGCGTCAGACTGCGTTTGAGTGAAGGAACGTTGTGTTTTTCCAAAATGGCCTCTATGTCTGCTGCAGATTAGAGTTTAGAATAATAGCCCGAGAGGAAAAAACAACTTTCTGGGCATGTTTGTCTTCTTTCTTTAGCATCGGAAATAGGACGTGTCTGAGGAATGAGCAATGTCACATCCTTACAAGGAGCGCTGCTCCTGCTCATGTCCATTCTTTTCCTTCCATCAGGGGACATGTCCCGGAGACGCGTTCAATTAGCCGTCCGTCACCTGCTGCTGTTGACCTCTGCGGCCTCAGTAATCCCTTATTCTCTGTATCCACCTCCACGCCACGAAGACTAATGGGTGAATTTACTGAAAGTGAGTGCGCGAGAACCGGCTCACTTGGTAAAATTTGGCAGGTGTGTCTGTGTGGGACATTGTGAATAAGCAAATGAGTCATTTCAGCTTTGTGCAGGCCTGTATAGAGAGCCGCCTGGTCTTTGTGAGTTGCACTTAACATGCACTATAGGTTTCCTAGATGTTGGTATGCGAGCCTCAGTGGCAGCCAGCTACACATTCCCAACTTCCCTTAACTGATTTTTTTTCTTGATAATGACACAAGGAGCTCCAGAGAAAAGTGTGGGCCACCACTTTGTCACTTCCTCATTCTTCCCCCTGCACCCCCACTCTCCCTCCCACTCTCTTCCTGTTGGTGAGCGTTCACACAGTGGTACATTGTTTATGTCTCAGCTTCTTATAATCAGCAGTAAGTCTCTTACTCATGCCTTGACATTCTTCGGGACTAAGTCAGATCTGATCAATGATTTAAGATGGCACAGGTGAAATATGTCTGGAAAATATGGGGTTTGGGGTTTTAGGTAAAATGGTCCACGGTCTCTACTGATAATCTGGTATTCTTTCTTTACTATTTCAGATGACATGTAAGACCCTTACTCTACTCCCTTGAATCCCAATACTTAGCTTAGTGGCCCTTGTTGGAACTAAAGACGTGAGACTTCTTATCATCAAAAAAATCAGTGAAGCAACTCTCTGGAGGAAGTGGACAAATATATGGATAAAACATGATATGTGCTGCACTGTTAGTGCGTAGGTGTTAGTTTAACAGATCAATGGAGGACGTCCGTGGTAAGAGGCTACGGTATCTTAATGGAAGGTTGTGGTAATCTAATTGACTATAGGATTTGCAATTAATGAATTGCAAAAATCTTATCTTAATTAGAAACTAGGGATGTCCGATATTAACTTTCGCGTAGGTGTTAGTTTAACATCTGAAAACGGGCCTGAATTTGGGTTGGAATTGGTTTCACGTTACCACAGATCAATGGAGGACGTCCCTGGTAAGAGGCTACGGTATCTTAATGGAAGGTTGTGGTAATCTAATTGACTATAGGATTTGCAATTAACAAATTGCAAAAATTGTATCTTAATTAGAAACCAGGGATGTCCAATATTAACTTTTTCTGATATCTGATATGCTGATGTTGTCCCAACACTTAATTTCCAATTTTGATATCAACCGGTACTAATTTATGTAGCGTTTTTTTTTTTTTTTGGTCCACAAAAGTGATTCCAGCAGATCTGGTGAAACCCAGACATTGTATTATTTATTTATTTTCTCATTATTGGAGGAAAAACAGATGCCGATTCTTATGGGGCCGATAATATCGGTTGGCTGATATTATATGGGGCCGATAATATCGGTTGGCCGATATTACTGGACATCCCTAGTAGAAACCAATATTTGAGATGAGGACAGGTTTTATATAAAATGGATTGAACAAAGAACAAAAAAACATTTGTCTACTACATTCACATCATTGGCTACTTCATATATCTCTACTAGGGCTGTTGTAGCTAACATTAGCTCAGTTGTTGGGCTTGCGGCAACATGTTTTCTTCCTTTCAAATGCTGCCCTGATATTGTTGCACAATCTCAAGCAGTGTGGTTTTGTCTCACTCTCACCACCACCACCGCCACCTACAGGCTCGATTGTGCACATAATTGTATTGTTAATCCCAGATGTACGGAAACTGAGAAGGATGTGACTACATTTTTGCCACGTCATTTGTCCGTAACAGTTATTCTGAAAAAACAAATAAGTGAAATGATTTCAAATAAGATAACAAGTTGATACAGTTTCTGTTGTTGCCTCACTGCTACAGTCCTACTGAGTGATCGAGTCACTCTGGTCTGCAGTCTTGTGTAATCACTGGTTGATCATCACACCTGTTGAAGAGTCATGCCATCGTCATGGTTTTATTACGTTGTTTCCTGTGTGCTTCCTTCATGTCTCAGCATGATGGAAATCCATAAAGAAAACCTGTCAAATACCGTGTTAATGTGCTCACTGGTAGACAGATGGTTAAAGAGTTTCCAGCCTGACTCACTCTCACAAACTATCAAATATTGTTCCCATTTTCTAACCCTAATAGGATTTATTCACAATGCATCCAGTATGTATCAGTTTTCTACACACAAATATACAAATACCTGGCGCCCGATGGAAAACATTAATATCTGTAAACAGACCAAAAACGTTCCCTCGCTGCACCGGCTGGGTCAGAACGTACAGCAAAGATCCTACGGGGAACAAAGCTGCACCTCACGGTGCTCAACCTGCGCACCAGCAGCTTTCAGCACCACATATAATACATGAGGCGCACAGCACAGAGAAAACTGGAGGGGCTTCAAGTATCTGTATGTCCTTAAGAGGCCCCGCCAAATCGATGGATCTGGCCCGTGGAAGTCTCAGGGAAGAAATAAAGATTTAAGTTTCCCAAAAGCAGTTGTGTGAAGCTGAAAAGGACTCACGCTCAAGCCATAACCATTGGTTTTCTGCCCAAAACGGCATCTGATACGTGTCTGAATTATGAATTTTCCATTTAACATTTTTAAACAAAATTGCAAGTTACCGTGTTTGTCACATTTTCGTAATTGCATTTCTTTGGCTGGAAATGTCAAAAGACATTTGTGAGAGTATAATTGAAATATTCAATGTGTACTGTACTCACTTTTTCGTGATTACACTGTATTTGACTTTGGAAAATCATGTGGTTTCGATTTGTGGCCAGTTGTCATTTATGTGCGTCACTATTGTGGGAATACTTTGGCTTTTTGTTTTTTTTTAATAACAGTGACTTATTTGGAGGCAGATATTGAAACCTGTTCTATGTTATGAAAGGAATAAGATGCCTGTGCTGTTGAACAGAGGTTACGTAACAGGGAATGTGGGATAGCAGAGGAATTAGAGAAACAAATCAACACCAGAGTGACGTTCTGAGCAGGTGAATGATTATTTATTTTCTTGTTTGCGTGTGTATTTGCAGCTGACCGATGGAGGCAAGGCCGTCCGAGCCAACATGAGCGTGGGAGACGTCATTCTGTCCATTAATGGCATTTCCACAGAGAGCATGAACCACCTGGAGGCCCAGAACAAGATAAAAGGCTGCACCGACAGTCTGAGTCTCACTCTGCAGAGGTAACAACAGTACATGAGTACACGCAGTACACACTACACGCAGTACTCTGAAACAGTGCTTCTCACATTTAAGGTTAAATGATCGAGTTTGGTTTGTGCATAACTTAACCTTATCTGGATCATAAACCTGTTGAGACCTGACAAACACGTCCACCTCTGAGCCTCAGGAAGAAGCCTAATTTGGTCATGTGTGGTTATTTACGCTGCTTTTGTTTTGCCGTTTCATCATTTGAAACAGATGAGCTCCCGTTCTGCTAATTTAAAACAGTTTGGGGTTTTTATCACAGCACGAGCCAAGGCCCCGAGCTCCTGACGGGAGGTTGGAAATGTTAGGGAAAACAGGAAAAGGATGCTGCTTGTGTTTTATCATATCAACAGTATGGAAATTAGAGAAGCACGATGTTTGATCCTTGCAGGGTTTTTTTGTCTACTTCAAATGGAGTTTAAAGATAAATTAGTGTAGGATTTTCCACCAGAATATCATCACGTCACACGGTGCAGATAATTTCAAATACAGACAAGGTGTTTCACTTGATGTCAAAGTCTGCCTTTAAAGGAAATATTAATGCTACAGAGAAAAGAGGAACAACATGATACCTCTTTTATTACAGTGAGAGTCTAATCAATCATTTACTCTC